AACAATAAAAATTGTCAAATTTTCGGGACGCCCTGTCCCTTCCTCAGGACAAAGAAAAAAGTTAAAAAGTCATAAGAACAAAGGAAAAATAGAAACAAAAACAACTAGCACTACTACTAAGCTACTAAACACTAGATATTTACATACTTAATAAATTACATGTTGAATTCGAAATTTTTAAGAACAACAATAAAGAAAGAAATCCGGACCGCTATGAAATGCGTGGTCTATGGGTATACTCGGGTGAAGTGCGATTTACATAATTGAACGAATTAATTATGCTAATTAATTACGACAATCAGTAAATCGTACATTGTTTCCTTCTTCAAAATGGCGTAACTTTACTTAATAAAGAATAATCAAAGAAAAATAAGATGGCAGGGATATTTAAACATATGAATTATGATCCATTATAAATTTTGAAATATTTAAAGACTTAATACCGGGAAAAAAATAATTAACAAAGGCGAAAACAATACATAGCTATATGGGTTGTTCGAGAGTTGGTGACGCAAATTGACTGTAGAGTTTACACTAAATTGAGAGAATAATCTTGTTTAGTATCGTCAGGAATTGGGTCTAGTTTACGTTCATAGTTTGCGTCACCAACTCTCGAACAACCCATATAGCTATGTATTGTTTTCGCCTTTGTTAATTATTTTTTTCCCGGTATTAAGTCTTTAAATATTTCAAAATTTATAATGGATCATAATTCATATGTTTAAATATCCCTGCCATCTTATTTTTCTTTGATTATTCTTTATTAAGTAAAGTTACGCCATTTTGAGAGAAGGAAACAATGTACGATTTACTGATTGTCGTAATTAATTAGCATAATTAATTCGTTCAATTATGTAAACCGCACTTCACCCGAGTATACCCGATAGACCGCACGCATTTCATAGCGGTCCGGATTTCTTTCTTTATTGTTGTTCTTAAAAATTTCGAATTCAACATGTAATTTATTAAGTATGTAAATATTTAGTGTTTAGTAGCTTAGTAGTAGTGCTAATTGTTTGTGTTTCTATTTTTCCTTTGTTCTTATGACTTTTTAACTTTTTTCTTTGTCCTGAGGAAAATTCAAAATTTATGGTGCAAAATTTGACAATTTTTATTGTTAATTTTCAAAAGTATATGCATTTTTAGTGCTTTATATATATATATATATATATATATATATATATATATATATATATATATATATATATATATATATATATATATATATATATATATATATATATATATATATATATAAAAACAGAATGCTGCAGTCCAAATTAAATAAAATCTAAGTAAAATAAAGTAATGGAAAGTTTTAAAACCTAATACTAGCATGAATTGTAAATCTTCAAATTTGATTTATTGTGCAATATGCCAAACCTGTGGCGAATATTATATAGGGCAGACAAATCAGCTTAACGCACGAGTGAGGGTACACAAGCAACATATACGGGACGAAACTGTCAGATGCACCCCTTGTTCAGAACATTTCGCCGAATGTGGTAAAGGGAAATTTAAGATTTTCCCGTTCTACAAAATGTGGACATCGGATGAAATCGCCCGTGTTACCAAAGAGGACTATTCTATAAGACTTTTTAAACCAAAACTGAATAGCAAATGAGATTATGTATAATTCACAAAATTTATTTTATTTCTATGCTTTAATTATACATTCTTTAACTGCGTTGAAAAAGTTCATGCAGCCGTTACCACGAACTACATTGTGACGTCATAATGACTTGAATTTTCACGACGTCATTAGCAACGTTATTGACAACGTTTTGAATTTTTTATAACAGTCTGAAGAGCCAACATGGCTGAAAGCGCTAACAGTAAAGATTTTATTTAATTTGGACTGCAGCATTCTGTTTTTATTTATTTAAGTATTTTTTACTGTACCAAGAATTTAACTTATCAATATATATATATATATATATATATATATATATATATATATATATATATATATATATATATATATATATATATATATATATATATATATATATATATATATATATATAGTAGGGATATTTAAACATATGAATTGTGATCAATTATATTATTGGTAAAACCACCGTTCGACCATTAGGACCAAAAAACTCAATGAACCCGTTGGGGAACATTTCAACCTTGAGGGTCACAAATGGGAGGACATGACAGTTTTGGTGATTGACCATAACTCAAGATGGACAGATGCTCAGAGGAAAAGCAAAGAAAAGTTTTGGATGCACAGATTGAAGTCATTCCGCCCAAATGGTATTAACAAATTGAATGACTTCTCCAGAATGAACGTAAATTAGACCCAATTCCTGATCAGACTAAACAAAATTATTCTCTCAATTTAGTGTAAACTCTACAGTTAATTTGTGCCACCAACTCTCGAACTCGAAAAACCACATAACTATGTATTGCTTACGCCCTTGTGAATTATTTTTTTCCCGATAATAAGTCCTTAAATATTTCAAAATTTATAATTGATCATAATTCATATGTTTAAATATCCCTACTATATGATTTTTCTTTCATTATTCTTTATTAAGTAAAGTTACGCCATTTTGAGAGAATAAAACAATGTACGATTTACTGATTGTCGTAATTAATTAGCATAATTAATTCGTTCAATTATGTAAATCGCACTTCACCCGAGTATACCCGATAGACCGGACGCATTTCATAGCGGTCCGGATTTCTTTCTTTATTAGTGTTCTTAAAAATTTCCAATTCAACATGTAATTAAGTATGTAAATATTTAGTGTTTAGTAGCTTAGTAGTAGTGCTAGTTGTTTTTGTTTCTATTTTTCCTTTGTTCTTATGACTTTTTTCTTTGTCCTGAGGAAGGGACAGGGCGTCCCGAAAATTTGACAATTTTTATTGTTCGTGTCGTTGGTCATTTTTAGTGCTTTATATATATATATATATATTTATACGTGTATATATATATATATATATATATATATATATATATATATATATATATATATATATATATATATATATATATATATATATATATATATATATATATATTTAAACTACTGTAATTGATGAAACAAGAAAGAATATCATATTGTCGTTTAAATTCATTTACAAAGTCCATTGGTCGACGCAATCACTTAGTCAGTTAATTCTGTCATTAAAGGTACTTGGACACAGATATGAAGTCAATATTTTCTCTATAATATTACGACTTACATATTTTAATAGCAATTCAGACAAAAATTAATTAAAAATCTTATTTCATTTTAAAGTTATTAAAACTTTGTTTTGCCGGGTTTGATTGACACATCCTTGTACTTTCACAATTTTTAGCTTATTCTTAATCCTTAGGAAAAGTTGCAATCTTGTTGTGTACATTTGTATTTATGAGAAATCCAGAAAAATAATTTTATTCAGAGTAGAAATGTTAGAGAGCAAAACTCCTTCACAAGTATCGTTATTCCGAACTTAGAGTTGCGTATAGAGTTTAGCAAATTGAGCAAACTCGTGTTATGTACACAGTTTTTGTAAACAGGGCACTAGTTCTGTTTTCGTTGATATTTACAATTCACCGGGTGCGTTAAATCGTCACAGTCTGCTTACCACAACTGCACAGACTGACAATATATTGCGTTTTTGTTTTGCTTTCGAACACATCTCCTCTGAATTTTCTAGATTATAGTATTAATATTTTTCATTTATACACAACTAGACTGCCACTTTTCCTAAGGATTAAGAATAGAATGAATTTGTGAAAAAGCAAGGATGTGTAAATCAAACCCGCCAAAAATTTGAAATTTTAATACCTTTTATATAAAATAAGATTAAATAAGATTTTTAATTAGTTTTTGTGTGAAATGCTATAAAAATATATAAGTCGTAATATTATAGAGAAAATAATATCTTCAAATCTATGTCTAAGTACCTTTAATGATAGAATTAACTGACTAGGTGATTGTATCGACCAATGGACTTTGAAAATGAATTTAAACGACACCGTTGATATTCTTGTTTCATCAATTATAGTAGTTTAACTATATAAATATATATTTCCTGTATCATGTTGTAAATTTTGAATTTACTAGGGGGAGGTAAATGCAAAATGTACAACCTGATACCTACCGTATCGAATCAACTGGAAGACATAAACCATATATGCATGTTATACAGGTGTATTACTCTATAAGCAAGGGAGGTTATCAATAGAAATGTTGGAAAAATTAACTCTCTGTGAAAATATCCAAATATGAAGACGATTTGTCAGAATTTGTGGTATTTTTTATTTCAAGTCCAAAGGGATATATCGAGTCATCGTAGGGAAGAAAATAGATATTATAAATTGAAAACAAAACTTGTCGATTTATCTAAACTTTGAATTAAAGGTCACAGCATTATCTATGAAATGATTCAAAATTCAAAATTTATGGTACAAAATTAGTCAATTATATGTTTTTAAGTTTCAAAAGTATATGCAAATGTTTGTTTTTTGTTCATGTTGTTTTGCTTAATTAACAAAGTGTTATGGCAAATTGTGAATCACATTTATTAAATATCTATATAAATAAAACATATTTATGTGACAAAAAATATACATGAAAATGTATGCATTAAAAGATACCGTCAGAATGCAACCTGGCTTATCAGCAATACAAAATTCTGTTAAAACTACAAAGTTGATATAAAAATCTAGTTTTACTAAAGGAGCTCTTTATAAAATCAATATTTGGGAACTGTGGGCACTAGAATTAGTGAAAAAGTTCACAATGCCGTATTTTGCGCTAAGATAAATCCCATGTTGACGCCTGTTCTTCAAGAAGTTCTTAAATTTCAATTTACCTTCGCCTCCTAAAATGCAAAGGCGGTTTTACTTCCTGTATTACGTACTTGCTAAAATTTATTTGGAAAGTGGGAGATAATAGTAAGAATTATGTCACAATACTAAGAATTATGTACTTGCCTAAATACATTTGAATCATGACGCTTTACAAAGAGTGTAAAGAACTAATCACCTTATTATTCTAAGCCAGTTGGACACCTTTCTCTGCAATAAGTTCTAAAATTCCAACATTTCCTCCTTGTGCTGCATATAATGCGACATTCCATCCATCATTATCCACCTGCTTAAGCATGTCTGGATAATGTTGGATGATATGTTGGCACATATCTGATTTAGAATTCATAGAGGCAATGTGAAGAATATTACAGCCTTCCTTATCTTTGAATGTCATATCGACGCCTTTTTGTGCCAGAAGTTCTAAAATTCCAACATTTCCTCCTTGTGCGGCGTATAATGCGACATTACATCCATTATCATCTACCTGATCAAGCATGTCTGGATAATGTTGGATGATATGTTGGCACATATCTGAATTAGAATTCATAGAGGCAATGTGAAGAATATTACTGCCATTCTTATCTTTGAATGTCATATCGACGCCTTTTTCTTCCAGTAGTTCTAGAATTTCAACATTTCCTCCTTGTGCAGCAAATAATGCGACATTCCATCCATCATCATTTACTTGATTAAGCATGTCTGGATAATGTTGGATGATATGTTGGCACATATCTGATTTAGAATTCATAGAGGCAATGTGAAGAATATTACTGCCTTTCTTACTTTTAAGTGTCATATCGACGCCTTTTTGTGCCAGAAGTTCTAAAATTCCAACATTTCCTCCTTGTGCGGCAAATAATGCGACATTACATCCATCATCATTTACTTGATTAAGCATGTCTGGATAATGTTGGATGATATGTTGGCACATTTCTAGTTTAGATTTCATACAAGCAATGTGAAGAATATTACTGCCTTTCTTACTTTTAAATGTCATATCGACGCCTTTTTGTGCCAGGAGTTCTAAAATTTCAACATTTCCTCCTTGTGCTGCACATGATGCGGCATTCCATCCATCATCATCTACTTGATTAAGAATGTGTGGATCGCGATCGAGGAGATATCGGCACAAATCTGTATTTCCATTCTTACAGGCAGAATAAAAAGCACGTGCTTTTGTATTTATCTCATCTTTAAAATGCATCATTTTGGCGCTTGTTTTTTCTGAAATGTAACCTCCTTCATGTAACGACATATTTGGTTCGTTATTCGTTTCTCTTTCATTTTCTGCTGAATTTCCTAGGAGTTTTACATTTTCGTTTTCCGTTCTTTTATATTCTTCGTCTGGATGACAGTTTTTGTCTTTGTGTTTTTTCTTCCTGTATTCTAAAACAAAGATTTAATTAAAACATGCGAACCATATGAGGAAAATATTCAACAAGTCACAATTCGGTGATTTATCCCAAAAATGGGTATATATATTTCCTATAAACTAAATAAAGGTTTTATAATATGTACAGAAAAATATGTATAACAACCAATATGGTTTAATATTTTAAGTTATTGAATTTCAGCACTTAATTTCGAAACCTTCGCCATATACCACAATTTATTCCTCACTAAACATTCTGCTTTTTTGTAAATATGTGTTTTAGCTCACCTGAGCCAAAAGCTCAAGTGTGCTTTTCTGATCGAAATTAGTCCGTTGTCTGTCGCCGTCGTTAGTGTTGTCGTTGTGCTTAACTTTACACAATTTTATCTTTTTCTCCAGAATTACCGGGCCAATTTCCAATAAACTAGACACAGAGCATTCTTGGCTTACGTAGATTCAGATTTGTTCAAATGAACGGTCACGCTCTCCTCCAAAGGGAGAAAATTATGAAAAATTAATGGCATCATTGAAAATTCTTCTCAAGAACCAGTGGGCCAGAAAAGATGAAACTCATGTGGTCGAATCATTGTCAGATTTGTTCAAATCCTGACCCCCAAAGCTAAAGTGGAACCACAATGGATTATTAAACTTTTACATAGGAAGATACAGGAAAATTATTTTTCTCAAGAACAACAGAGCCAAGGTTGGTCATATTCATATGAAATTTTCCTCAGATGATGTAGATTCGAGTTTGTTTAAATCATGCCCCCACCCCACCCCCCTAAAGTCTCTTTTAAATTATTTATTTAAATAAGCGGTATATGTATACCGTATACATGTAACACTACTTATCTCCATTTGAATAAAAAGGAAATAATACAGATTCCTTTTGTTCAATGTCATTTGTTGAACTTCCGGATGTATTTCATAACAGATTGTAAAGCATCCATGCACGTTCGTAAGTCAAACATCTTCATTCAATTTGGTAAAGATGAAACATCTGTGAAATTTGTGCGTTAAAAAGAGGATGAATAAAACTAGGAACACGTAAAATAGAATTGCGAGAGAGCAGACGTAACACAAGAAGGTTGTCTGTTCTTGTTCACTGATGTGTGGAGTACAAATATATATCTGCTAAAATATAATGCTTTATAACAGAAGTCGAGCTTAGATAAACATATGTACCCTTAAAAATAACATTAACAAAAATTAACAAAAAACAACGACAGGTCCCCCTTTTTTAGAAATTTACTTATCGCATAAAAACGTACTCTAAACAGTTCGTGTTTTATATTCTTAATATCAATTCTTTATAAAAATCAAAATTTTAAATAGGGTCGTGGACATGACATGTCTCTGATTTAACTAAATTTCACACCATTTACTACAATTGGCATAGCTTTAATAAATATGATGTCAAAGTCTAACTTTTCAATTTGGTTGCCATGGTAACAAGGACGCTATATTGAGAACTCTCAGATTAAGTAAATTTTGCTCTGTCTTAAATGATATTAGTGCACATTCAATAAATTAGTGTAAATTCACACGATAATTACCATCTTTGGGCTCATATTACTTAAATCTGAGAAATAAATTTTATTCAAGATATTTGGATGGAGGTTTAGCGAATTTTCATCAGCAGCATTAAGGCTGTTAGCAAATTGGCAATTTCCCAAAATTGACAATTTGAGTCATATTAAATGAAATTTTCACCATTTTGACAACAGATATATTTGTAACCATGTATCATTAATTAAACTATGTATTCTTATGTTTTATGAAAATAAAAAATATTAATGGGTTAACCAAAAACTTTCTAGAAATTATTCCATGAAAATTGGCAATTTGCCAAAATTGACATTTTTAGTCATATTCAATGAAATTTTTCACCATTTTGACAACAGATATCTTTGTAACTATGTATCATTATATAAATATATATCCTAAGATTTTATGAGAATAAAAAAAATTAATTTGTAAATGTACAGCTTTCTAGAAATTATTGCATTACACCCCCTCCCCCACCCATTAATCACAAATAACAGAGAAGATCATCTAAGAACACATTTTACCAAATTGAACAAATTGTTAGGTAATATGAATATATGTCAAGTTTTTAAAATTTCTTTTTAATAATTAAACAGAACTTCTGCAATTAACTCAGTGACAGGTAAATTGATATGTTGCCATGGAAACAAATCAGGCTTCCAGTTACTTTATTCTAAATATGAAATAAAACTAGAGCCGAGCTCGTTGCAAAGCAACGAGTAGGTCTTCCGTTGGAGCTTTGGACAGGAAGTGCCGACCTTTGGTCAAGGTCACTTTACTTTCTATAAGAGCATCTTCTATTCTCAGAATGAGCCTCTTGTGAATCTTAATAACAAAGTTATGCTTGAACATTTTTTCTCTCTGTCAGTGACCTTGATTTGCTTTCATCACGGTCATGACACAACTTCTATTTATAAATAATTTATATTTCAAGTACGGCCTCCAATGACTTTTATCTATTAATTCGTAGCGTGGAAAAGAAATTTTTTTTATGTCAGTAACCCTGATCTCTATGGAATAACCTTGGATCTGTGTCAAGACAAACCCTCAATCTCAAACAACTTTTAGTGATTACAAATTCAAAAGCCTGACAGGAATTTTACAACTTTTTCTGTCTGTGACCCTGAATTTGATAAAATGGCATTATTTTTAGTCATCTGAAACCGGAGGACCATAAGCTATCTGTATCAAGTCTGAACTTAAAAAAAAATAGGCTAGATTGAATTTATACTATTTTCTGAGTCAAAATGATACAAAACCTTTTTGTCACAAAAAATCTCTTTATCAAGTATGAGCTTCCAGATATTCTCGATTACATATATAAATGGCTCATACAAAACATTAACTCTTTCTATAGTGACCTTGAATTTGCCATAATATTCCCTTGAACCAAAGTCATGACACCTTATGATCATTGGAAATCTTTGTATCGAGTACATGTAGTATGGGCTCAAAGATTCTCCATAAATTTAAAGCCTGGGCTTCAGGGAAAACCTTGAGAGGCAGAAGGACAGCTGGACAGTGAAACAGAAAATGTTATTCCTAACCCATCCAACCCCACCCCACCCCCAAAATACACAATCACTTTGTTTGCGGGTGTATAACTTCCTATGTTTAATTTTGAATGCCTATTCCAGTCATGATTTGAAAAACAGTTATCTTTATTATGTTCCCCAAACGAAGTTGGGGAACATATTGTTTTTACTCTGTTTCTTATTATTATTATTATTAAGGTCTTCCGACTTCCTTCGGAAGACCTTATTGTTTTCCTTCTGTTTTCTATTATTATTATTCCACTTTTCATAGTACAGGTCATATCTCAGCTGTGCGTGGACGAATTTGAACGATTTTCTCAGGGATGATGTATCATGTTAATATCTCCAGGGGTGTCCCTCACTTTTTTGAAATGTTTCTCCGTTCGCGATTTTTGTGGAAATTTGTATTTTTTAAATGGAATTTTGTCGCAAAAAATTCTCGAGAACGGCAAAAGATAGGAAAGTGAAAGTCGCTGAGGTGATAGAACATCGATTGTAGATGTGTTGATCGACCTTCATTTTACGTCGTTTTTACTTCCGGTCGCAAACGGAAGTGAATTCAAAACTACCAATTTTTCAACTTTTTTGTTTTTCAATATTTTTCTTTTGAATTTACAGGGTTTATAGAGCGTCTTCAAAGATATCTATATATGTTTTCATTTTTCTTCATGCGTGCGTTTATTGCAAAGATATGACCGAACCAAAATTTGTCTAACTGTCGAGGGTTCGAATCCCGCTCGGGGCGTTCCCCAAATTTTTTCTTTGTTTTTGTCTTTTTTCAGATGCAAATTTCTTTTCACTCTTTCATAACATGTTTGGAAGATTTTGTCGATTTTTAAAAGCTATATTTGGAGATATTTTGTTAAATACCTGGAACAATCACGATCTGTGTTGAGAACCTACTGTAAATGAACGTAAACGAAAAAAATACTTTATGAAATCTATTTCATGGGATGACACAGCAAAGATTGCAAAAGAGAAGTCGGTCGGAAGACCTGCTTGTTGCCCCAGCAACAAGAACGCATCTAGTTATTATTTTTCTTCTTCTTCTTCCTGGAACTTTTTTGTCCGGGAATGATCTTGTAAACTGTTCGTCCGATGTAGGTAAAACCTTTTTAGGGTAAGTAGACATGTTATGTAGATTTGCGGAATCAAGGTCATTTTGCGCGCACGTGCTTGCAAGAGCGTGCACGTGCAACACGTGAAATGATCAATATAATAGATATAGCCGCAACTGTTCTATTTTTGGATGAAATGCTTTGAAACTCATAATGTGAGGATATATTAGTAGTATAGACATGACGACATGGTGAAAATAGCAAGATCTCACGCGCATGCACGTGCACTTCGCTTTGATTGGCTGCAACTAAAGTCTCAATATCTTTCTTGTTTTTTGACGAAATCCTTTGAAATTTTGAACATAGCCATGTATTAGGATATCCTACAACAAGAAATAAAGCAATTATCATGAAAACACGTGCATGCACGTGCGCTGCAATCTGATTGGCTGGAACTTTAAAACAGCTATATCTCCCTTGGTTTTCAACCAAACAGGATGGGATTTGGAACATAGATAGATATAATGGACTTCTACAAGTAGGTATGCTCACCATGCACATACATACACGTGTGTGAACAAGTGCTGCAATCTGATTGGCTGAAACTTTAAATAGCTAGAACTCCCTTGGTCTTCAACCAAATGGGGTGGGATTTAGAATATAGATAGATTTAATGGACTTCTACAAGAAGGTATGGTCACCATGCTCATGTATGCACGTGCGTGCACGTGAAATGAGTAAAATCAAACATACACTTGAATGAGCGTATTTAATTAATAATTTTGGATTAAATACTTTAATACTCAGTGAATTAAATATAGATTGTGCAGACAAGATGATAAGGTCATGACGCAAATGCATTCACATGTGCAC